TGTCAACGTGGCTTCTCCTGATGAGATGTCCAATGCCACCACTTCATCTCCTGCCGACTCTCCACCCGTAGCTCCGCCCCTTCGTCGTGGTGATCGGCACCGTCGCCCGCCCTCACATCTTGGAATTTATGATGTGGACTTGCATGGTCATTCTTCTTCGGCATGCCAATATCCCATCTCCAACCATGTTAGCTACCACCGGTTCTCTCCTGAGCATAAAGCTTTCCTAGCCGTCATCCCTCAGCTCACCGAACCTAAGAATTATCACTCTGCTGTTCGTTTTGCGTGCTGGTGTGAGGCGATGATCAAGGAGATACTGCGTTGGAGGTCAATGGTACTTGGACCCTGGAGATTTTGCCACCAGGTAAGAAAGCCATCGATTCCAAATGGGTTTTTAAAATCAAATATAATCCGGATGGGTCAGTTGAAAGCTACAAGGCCCGACTCGTCGCTAAAGGTTTCACTCAGCTTGAGGGGGTCGATTTTCATGATACCTTTGCTCCTGTGGCCAAACTCGTTATCGTCCTCACCCTCATTGTTGTTGCTGTCGCTCGTGGTTGGCAAATACATCAGCTGGATGTTAATAATGCCTTTCTGCATGGTGATCTTGAGGAGGAGGTTTATATGAAGGTACCTTTGGGTTTTGCTGAAAAGGGTGATACTCGTGTTTGCCGGCTGCGGAAGTCTCTTTACGGTCTTCGTCAGGCTTCTCGCAATTGGTATAATAAGTTTACTCTCGCCCTTCGTGAACTTGGTTTTGTCACATCTCGTGCCGATCACTCTCTCTTGATTCATCGTCAAGGCTCTCGGTTCGTTGCTGCCCTCATTTATGTTGATGACGTGGTTCTCACCGGGAATGATCCAGCGTTTATTAGTGAGGTTAAGTCTTTTTTGGATGCTCGGTTCAGCATCAAAGATCTTGGTCCTCTTAAGTATTTTTTGGGCATTGAAGTTGCTCGCTCTCCTGAGGGTGTTGTGCTTTCTTAGCGCAAATATGCTTTGGATATCTTACATGATGCTGGTGCTACTGGTTCTCGTCCTAGTCGGTTCCCTATGGAACAAAATCATACGCTCACTCGCCCTAGTTCGTCCGAGACTGATGCGGTCGTTGATGTTTCTGCTTACCGGCGCCTGGTTGGTCGCCTCCTTTACCTCACTGTCACTCGGCCCGACATTGCATACGCTGTTAATGTTCTCAGCCAGTTTGTTCATTCTCCGGGTCCAGAACATGTTGCAGCCGCGCATCGGGTCCTTCGGTATATTAAGACGGTGCCAGGTCAGGGTCTCTTTTTTCCTGCTGATAGCTCCCTCCAGCTTACTGCTTATTGTGATGCCGATTGGGGTGGTTGTCAATCCACTCGTCGGTCTACTACTGGATACTATATTCAGCTGGGTTCCTTGCCCATCTCTTGTCGCTCGGTTTTCTGCAGAAGCCGAGTATCGGGCTATGGCTAGCACCGTCAGTGAGGTTGTCTGGTTGCGTTTCCTCCTTACTGAGTTGGGTGCTCCTCAGTCTGGTCCCACGCCTCTGTTTTGTGATAATCAGGCTGCCCTGCACATTGCCGCGAATCCGGTTTTTCATGAACGCACCAAACATGTTGAGATGGACTGTCATTTTGTTCGCGAGCGCGTGGTCACTGGTGAGATTAATCCCCTGAAAATTGGCTCCTCTTCTCAACTGACGGATATCCTTACCAAGGCCTTAGGCGCCGATCAGTTTCATTTTCTCTTATCCAAGCTTGGCATTCGTGACCTGCATGCTTCAGCTTGAGGGGGCGTGTTGAATTGTAATTGGCGTTAGTATCTTGTTTGGGTACTTAATTGTTATTTTGCAGTATTCTCCTAATTACCCTAGATCACTTACGTAGAAGGGTATTAGTAGGCCTTATGGCGGCTGCCTTTGTAACTCACGAGACAGATTTCTATTCTGTTCTCCCATAGTGAAAACCCTACTCGAGCTCTGCTCACCGTGGATTAGTCTCGTCGATTGACGGGGATACCACGTAAATCGCCGTCTCTTTACCTTTCCGCATTCATTAGATTTTACATCCTTACTGCAAATTTAGAGCAAGGACTACAAATCCCTCTAGACTGCTAATGTAGAGCAATAACTAAATGGAGCACGACTTTCAGCTTTGCACTTTGGACTATTTGGAAGAATCGTAATGATGGTGTGTTTAGTGATGGAAGCAAAGCCCTCTCCCCTTCCTCCCTCAAACATTCTATCCATATGAAAGTGAAGAGCCAACTCTGGCATAGACAGACCTTATCCCTTTCTCTCTCGAGCTCTCCCTAAGCCACCCAGGATAGTGACGGATGTCGGTTAGGTGGGGCCACTTCGGGGATTGTGTAAACTAAACATTGATGTGGCTTTGCAGGGAAATCTCCGGAAGGCGGCAGCATGGACTGTTTTTCGAGATACTCAGCGATGGTGGCTTTGTGTCTTTTGTTACAATACTGATATTTGCTCAACAGCTCATGCTAAGCTTTGAGCTTTTAAGCAAGGGCTGGAAATCGTGTAGCGCCAAAGCTTTCGACTACTTATTGTTGAATCCGACTCCCAACTGGCAATTGATCTTATTAGACATAGGACGGACCAGGCGTTCACCCTTATGCGTCCCTCCTCCATTTTATCCGCAGGCTTCTAGAGTAGGATTGGTTGGTTAATATAGCTCATACATACAGAGAAAGGAATAGAGTCGCGGACTAGCTCTCGAAGCACACTCTCGTCTATCCCTATGGTATGCATGAACTTGTTAACCCTCCAATCTTGCTGATCGACGTCCTTAGAAAAGATGAAAAGGGTGTTTGTTCGACTCATAGTGTTGTGAATGCCTCCTCTTCTATACCTACCCTGTATTTTTTCTTTTTTTAGCTTTTATAGCCTCCTATGAATAAAAAACGTGAGAAAAAAACAAAGAACCGTGATATTAAAAAAATATTCACAATAATTTTTAAATTAAAATCAAACTCGATTTGTAATATCGTGAACCAATTGTTATATCGAATCAATTCTTGGGTTGGAGCATTCATTTATGGATCGACTGGTTGTTTACAATTGAGTGTGAATGACAAACATCACTTCGATCTAAGTGGTTTATTGGCTTAATGTTATTTAAAAAAAAATTCAGAATGGGAAACACAACATGAAAAGCTTATTAATTACCATACTGGTTTTTCCTACTATGTATCTCTTCATTTCCTTTAATTAGTAGCCTTTCATCTCCCTTTCTTTATTTCCTCCTTCCCCTCTGTTAACTAATCCTAATTAGCATATTATTTGTATGGATTCTAAATTTAAAATGTGAATGCTTCCATAAATGAATTACTAATAAGTCTATATAAATTATAATAATTGAACCATAAATCACTAATTTTCCCACTCAATATTCAGTACAATTAAAAAAAGAATTTTTTTTGTTAGTAGACCATTATTTTCCTCTCTTAGATTTAAAGACATAAAATTTTAAACTATTCCCTTTACTTCTTTCTAGCTCAATTTTATACATGAAATATTTGGGTTTAGTATACTTATAAAATAAAAAATTATCAATAAAAAATTCATATTTTTATAAAAAATAAATAATTACCATTTCACAAAATATTAAAGACATCATCATAAAAAATATCAAGTATTATCTTAAATACATTATCGTAAACCCTAAAAAGAATTAAATCTCAACCGTCAGTCAGCTCGTGGCAAAGCTGTTGAGAGCACGATTAGTGTTAAGGGGTAGTTTAATATTTTATTAGGTTTAGTTGATTAGGGTTTCTGTTCATTGTCTCTATAATGTACTTTACTTCTATCGTTAGAAATATCAATGAAAAACCTAATCACAGTATTGTATGAATAATATCTCTTCTCTCAATCTCTTCCAAGAGCTTTAATTTCCAATTCTGAATCACCCAATTCTGTCCAATTCTCCTCTCAACCAATCTAAATCTCTTTCTAATCTATATCTTGTTACGATAATCCGGGTGCCAAGATCCCTACCTACAACAAAAGCACGATTTCGTCCTAATTAATTTATAGCTAAAGACATAAGAGGAATGCTACTTTGTGTTGGAAGTTTTTTTTTTTTAAATCTTTGGTAATAACAGGCTACTGTTTTTGTTTTTTTCTAATTGATTTTGGCTAACCCATATCTATATGCGCAAGATTGGCACAAAGCGGACAATATCGTATTATTAGAGCTATTCGATTACGAAAACTGATATCAGATTCGGTTTGAAAGACATGGTCCATGTAGTCGTGCATCTCTACAACCTAAATTGACTAGGATCATGTAAACGTGAAATAAATATGAACTGATCAGCCACCCTTGCCTGTCCCCTGCCTTGATAGTCATTTCTTGACCATGCCTAAAATTATGGAATGAATTTAACATATTCGAGCAAACGTGAAAGGAAGGACACTCAACTAGGAGTCCGTACATGCATGGCTGCATTGGCATATGACACTGACTCAAATTCCAACTCGAGGAATAATCACAATTCACACAAGTCCAACCTCCCATCCAAAATTTTGAAACTGGGCTCGTTGAGATGGCTGTTGAAAACCCGGGAATTATTTAGTCTTCTTCCCCCAAATGTAATGGCGGAGTGAGTTATCATGTTGGACCAACCAACTGACTAAATTGCTCTCATGGACCGATTTCCAGCTTCAGAAGTCAGAACCATCGCCGCTGGTTCCTTTCCCCTTTGGAAACAAGCACAATTTTCCATTTGAACATTCAACAACGTCAGCTTCTGTTCTCCGCTTTGACACTATATATATATATACCCCGAGCCACAAGTCCTCAGATATCATTCTCTCACAGGCATTTCCTCAAACACTTGACGTGCAAAATTAATTCCTCCTCACCTTCCCATAAACACACACAGGACAGAAACATATTGCTCCATTTCCATTTCCGTTCCTAGATTCCAACAAAAACCCATCAATGGCCAGAGCAGGATTCGTTCGGATTCTGAGCGTTCTGATCATCGCCGCTGCGGTTATGATTCAGATGCTTGGTTGCGGGGTGGAGGCTCGGCCGTTGAATATATTGAAGCAGTCCACCGATGCGCAGAGTGGCGGGAGCTGGTGGGCCGATGCGGCTTTCTGGGACGGGTTGGCCCTTGGAGCGGTGAAGCAATCCGGGCCCAGCCCGGGCGTGGGGAACAGCTTCACCGATGCAGCGAACGATGGTCCCAGTCCTGGAGTGGGGCACTGATCATATATTAACTTAATTAAAATTCGTTCCTCAGAACCGTTTTTCTATATAAACTTTATTTCTTACTTATTTACTAATTTCTTACACATGTAATTCACTATTAATTCTTTTGTTTCTTCACTTTTGATATTTAGTGGCTGCTGCTGCAGCAATCAAGTAGTGTATTATTGTTACACTACTCATTAATTAGTGCCTTTCCTTTTCTTCTTCTTGTTCTTTAGTGCATTGGACATTCTTTTGGTACTGGAAAATTGAATACAAAGAATTCTTTCCGCATACGGCATAACTACTACTGTGGCTATTGCGACAGTGGTTGCTGTTGGAAATGTGATGGAAAGAGAGAGAGACAGAGAGACAAGGCGTTGGAGGAGAGCGATAGAAATAAACAGGAAAACCCCGACTCGATTCGGTGATACAGTAACAGTACACAATTAAGATTGAAGAACGTGGACAGAAAGTGAAACGACGTCGACAAGGACTCAAATCTTTATTTATTTCTTGGGCACAATAGAATTTTCTCGAGAAAAAAGACCCAACAAAGTTTTCAGGGAAAATGAAAAAAAAAAAAAAAGAATACAATCCGTATTACCGCTCCTTCTCAACTCATAAGCACTAGAATCCTACACAGGTCTTTTCAGGCATACTCTCACTCTCCGACTAAAATAAAGAAGAAAAACGAAACAAGAAAATAGAATCAAAGAATTCTTTCCGCTCACTTGACCGGTAGATGACTACTGTTGTGGGTATAGCGGTCATGGTTGCTGTTGGAAATGTGATGGAAAGAGAGAGATAAGGTGTTGGAGGAGAGCGATGGAAATTAGCAAGAAAACCCCGACTCGATTCGGTGGTACAGTAACAGTACACAATTAAGATTGAAGAACATGGGCAGAAAGTGAAACGGCGTCGGCAAGGACTCAAATCTTTATTTATTTCTTGGGCACAATAGAATTTTCTCGAGAAAAAAAGACCCAACAAAGTTTTCCGAGAAAATGAGAAAAAAGAATACAATCCATATTACTACTCATTCTCAACTCATAAGCACTAGAATCCTACACAGGTCTTTCCAGGCATACTCTCACTCTCCGACTAAAATAAAGAAGAAAAACGAAACAAGAAAATCGAATCAAAGAATTCTTTCCGCTCACTTGGACCGGTAGATGACTACTGCGGTGGGTATAGCGACCGTGGTTGCTGTTGGAAATGTGATGGAAAGAGAGAGACAAGGCGTTGGAGGAGAACGATGGAAATTAGCAAGAAAACCCCGACTCGATTCGGTGGTTCAGTAACAGTACACAATTAAGATTGAAGAACATGGACAGAAAGTGAAACGGCGTCGGCAATGACTCAAATCTTTATTTATTTCTTGAGCCCAATAGAATTTTCTCGAGAAAAAAGACCCAACAAAGATTTTCGGGAAAAAAAAATACAATTCATATTACCGCTCCTTCTCAACTCATAAGCAGTAGAATCCTACACAGGTCTTTCCAGGCATACTCTCACTCTCCGACTAAAATAAAGAAGAAAAACTAAACAAGAAAATCGAATCAAATAATTCTTTCCGCTCACTTGGACCGTAGATGACTACTGCTGTGGCTATAGCGACCGTGGTTGCTGTTGGAAATGTGAATAGCTTTGAAGCTATAAGTCTCAAAACAAAAAACTACCACATTGGTAGTTTTATACTTGTGAAGTGTGTATAAAGATAGATTCCTCTTTCTTAGTGGCAAGCCACGTGAGGTGACCCACTTTTGTGGGAGATGATCTAACGGACGACACACAGACGCACGCCGTCCGTCTGAACAGTCGGTCAAACGGGCAGGCGAGTGGGTCTTGATTGAGACTAATATATTTTTGGAGAAATTCTGAAATAATTTATTAATTATGACTTGATTATCGTGTATCCTTAACAGATACGAAGATAATTAATGTCAAGGAATATTTGAGAGATAATTCGGCCAGAAATTATCTTACAGGCGCGTTTTAAGTAAGAAAGTAATTATCTTACTAATTAAAACCGACTTATCCCTCAAGTAGGGGTTTGGCTACTATAAATAGCCATCTCTACAGCCCCGCTAAAAACACCACAAACGAGTAGAAACACGAGAGAGAGAGAGAGAGAGAGAGAGAGAGAGAGAGAGAGAGTGTGTGTGTGTGTGTTCACAGAGTTTCGATTTTCGCACAAAATCGCCGAGCACTAGAGGATTTGATTTATCCTAGAGACAAACCGTTGTTAGTCTGTCGTGCGCAACGAAGGAAGTGTCGCGAACATCTTAAAGAAAGTGACTTAGTTCGCAACTTAGCTCCAGATTCGGTAACCTCGTTCCTTATTGTTGTTCCGTTACTAACAGTTGCTAGAGCTGCCACCGCGTAGAGATTACGATCGAGCTTCTTCTCCAATTTCTCCACCACTTCGACGAGCTTGGATTGATCATCGGGATCTTCTTTCAACTCCTTGTTGTCGTTCCAAATCCTTGCCCTTACTTCCGTGACTTCTGTCTGTTTACGCAGCTGCTCGATGTACGACTTTAGTGTAATGGTTGCAGACCCGACATTTATAACATTCAACGTGGTTGTCACGGGGTTGATTTCCTTGATGTTGAACCGTCCCCATGGCGTAACGTTGTAAGTCGTGACTTTCTTCCCTGAAGGAGGGCTCCTTGCAGTCATCCAGGTTCTGACGGCTGGAATCACAACTCTCCCCCCTTTCCCAAGAAACGCCATGGTAGTTCTTGACTAGTATTTCCGTTTCTTGGGTGAGTGACGACTGAGGGACTTGAGTGCTTTTAATTATGCACCAATTTCACCCGACCCGCGGCGTACGTTGGGCTTCTTGGGTGAGCTGTGGCGGCCCGCAAAATGTGAGTGAAATGCCTGATCCGGTCCGCTAAAGCTCTCTCTAATTATTCAATACAATTTTTTTTATTTAAAGATTTTGCTATTAATGATTACCAAAAATGTCCATTATTTTTTAAGAATTATAAGGGTTAAATTACACATTTGGTCATTAATTATTCCATACATTATTTATTTAAAGATTTTGCTATTACTGATTCCAAAAAATATCCATTATTTTTTAAGAATTATAAGGGCTAAATTACACATTTGGTCACTCAAACTATATATATCTTTCAAGTTTGTCTCCCGTATTAATTTTCTTTCTTATTCGTCACTAACTATACGAATTATTTCACCATTAGCCACCGACCGTTACTGTTAGTTAAATTTGTACTACGTTATAGTCAACTATAAAGTTTGACCATTAACTAGGTGACATGAAAATTAAAAAAATTAAAAAAAAATTATTTTTCCACCTCAGCATTCCACTTACTTTGTCTATATGATTTATCATATTAATTATTTAATAAAATTTAATTCAATTACAAAAATTAGTTATCAGTCGTACGAAAAATTAGTAAAAATAAACACAACCTGTTAAAAAATACACTATATTTAGCCCAACTTGGCTCACCATGAAGAAGCCATACACGCTCAAAGCAGCAGAGCTTGAGCAAAAACACCTCTGACGGCTTCAGCGGGTGCTGTAATTCCACGCGATAATATGAAATCCCGGAAGCAAACGAGCAACACGGGCAAGCTTCGATCAATCTCATCTTCAACAACGACCATCTAATCCCCCATTTTTCTCCGACCACCCAAAACACTACGTAGCACCCACTACAAGAAAACCGGCCTATAGAGGCAAATAATTAGAGACAATTGTTGTATTGGTCTCTATAGCTAAACGTTAGGAGCAAGTATATTATTTGATTCAGTAGGTGAAATTATTTGTCTCTATAGGCAAATCTCATAATATTTAGAGATAAATACAAATGTTTCTTATAGCTATGTCATTAGAGACAAATTTAATAATATTTATATGCAAATATAAATGATCCTTATACATATACCATATAGACACAAATCTAATAGTATTTAGAGACAAATACAAATGTCTCTTATCATTATCTCATATCATATGGAGACAAATCTAACAATCTTTAGAGACGAATACAAATGTCACTTATAGTTATGTCATATGGAAACAAATTTAATAGTCTTTACTCTTTAGAGACAAATCTATATGCTCCTAAAACACCAAATTGGCCCTCAATCAAGCTGGAATTGATTGATCAAGAAGGTAAGCAAAGTACATTAAAGAACACTGAATTTTGGCTAAGTTCTTTTATAGTTTCAGGTAGCCAACTTTGCACATCGGGAACTTGTTATTGGCTTAATGAAAATTCGAGTATAAGGCCTTATTTTGAAGATGAAGAGTTTATCTTTCCATTGATGTGCTTTGGAGCTCGAGAGGAAGCTCAGAAGAGTGATTTCCATGTCGATCAAGTTGCTAGCTCAACATGGGAAAAACTCCCGAAATATTCTAAGTGTTGGAACGAGTTCGGGAAGGAACTTTGGAAGCCTCAATCGAAGGGATGGCATGAGAGTCGATCTTCAAGAATCATACCTCATGAAAGTAGGTTTCTTCTACTACAACGACATGGCGTTGAATGACTGGAATGAAGAATGGAAGGCCTCGAACGAAAGCTCCAAAGATCGTATCGAATTTGAGTTTCTGTCTTTGGAAACCAGGCAATCCGAATCCTTATCGGATTAGGATTCCTTTGCTGTTTTGTATTTAATTCCTTTTCATTGTTGGTTTTGATTTCCTTTTCCAATTGTAATTTGTTTAGGACTTCTCTAAGATTAGTAGGATTGGCTAGGTCTATTTAAGTATCTTTGATTCGTTGTAATTTTCAGATTTCGTAGAGTTGAATAACAAACCGAGAGTTTGCGTTCATAAGGTTTTGTCTTGTGAATTGAGAGATCAACCTAGGGGAATCTAGGTCTGATCATGAGCTTGTATCGTTCAAGTACTCACCTTGTTCGTGGCCAAGCATCGACGACACCAATCGAGCCTCTTTCCCATCGTGAAAGTTGCACGAAAGGTTCCATCCCAAACACGAGCACAATACCCTGTTTTGTGTTCTTTCTCACCAAGT